AATACGGCCGGTGGTCCATAATCTTTCCTTTCGGTATTCTGGCAAGTATCCGTCATTTAGGTGAAACTGCGTTTAAAGTCATAAATGGCTTTGTCAGCTCAGAATACTATTTTTTCCGTAACGCATCTTTTTAGTTCATGACAAGGTACCGAATCAGGGCTATATATTAGACCGTACTCCGCCTTATCATGTGATCGAGTTTCTTTCTAACAATAGCTGAGACTTCTGCACTATCCGGTAGGTTAAGCGGTTGCTCTGCAGATTAATGGAGTGAGACAAGACAGAGAAGAGTTTCAATTATCTAAATTAACGTCCACAAGTGACGGCATTACACAGAAGCAGACAAACGTATCAGTCAAGCGAACGCAGAGTTTATGATTTAAGGCGGTCTGGAGCTGTGAATAAGAACTTAAGGAGCAGTGCAAATTTACTGTCTTCTAGTTTGCTTACATATCCATCCTCATCTGTTGTTATCTTCACATCCTTCTATGTAGCCAGCTTCACCTGTGGTCATAAATGCCGTATGCTGGTCGAAAGAGTTTTGATACATGCTCCAAAACTGGTGCGACTAAACTCGAAGTAGTGCGCAATGTCACGAACCTATATAGTCTACTTGTGAACAGCTGTTTCTTAAAATCAAGTGGCCGCACTTTCACTTGCTTGCTCGTTTGATTAGAATGATGGACCAAAGACAAGCAAGATGGACGCTCGTTGTAAAGTGATACGGCAGATTTATGCCAGATGGCTAGAGTATGTTTTACATCTGGCATTCTCACGCCTTACGGTGCCTATCTAGCTTGCCCGCCTGGCAAAAGACCGAGTTTTCTGGCAGAGTATCCAAAAACTACTTCCCTGAAACACGAAAGAAAAAGCTTGTTGGTGCAGTGCATGAAGTTGGAAATTTTCTGTAAAATAAATTTGGGAATGGGGAGTAACAGATGTAAGTAGTTCTTGGTGGTTTTTCTGAAATATGTGTTGAAATGTAATGTATCGAACATCCACAGTAGGCAAGGGTACTCATGCTTTTTGAGTGTTTACGATATCTTTAAGCCCATCTTTTGGAGTTCAAAAGATCATATGCAGTTCTGATAGTTTGTACGTACAAGTTTGCATTAACGTCAGCTCTGATCTTGTGTGAAGTATCAGTCGGTTACTTCGATATCAGGTGCGGAGAAACTATGCCTGTAATCGCGATGTCTCTTGATAAACTTTCGTTGTCCTCACCTTGCCAAACTTGATAGCAATGCAGGGGTGCGATAAATTTCTACCAGCTACACGGTTTATTGATGTGTGAAACGCATAACTCCATTTTTAGGCGGCGTTATCCCGGACGCGAAGATGATCCACATGGCCAGAAAACGGCGGCAGCAAGCGCGCGAATCCGGCGATTTCATTCCGATTGACACCACGCAGAAGTTTCAACCAGATTCGTCTCGTCTGGTGCGCGAAGATGAAAACGATGCGTCAGACAGCGGCGAAGAAGGCGGAAAGTTCTATTCGCGTTTTCGCAGTCAGAACGAAGAAGAGCGCAGACAGATGGAAGCCGCTTTCCTGAATGCCGTTGAAGGTACCACCGTTCATAGCGATCATTTTTAATTGGCGTTCTCTACACCAGTTAGACGGGAAACGTGAGTGGGGAGGGGGGTGGGGGGGTAGAGGAGTGACGAAGAACTGAGAACGTTTCTGTTTAATTTTAACCTGTGTATCCTGATGTTTAGTTGCGCGATTGATGGGTTTTATTTATATGAATGCATATATATTGTTTAAAGAAAATTGTTCTTTTCACGTCTATTTAAAAAGTATTTCCAAATAAATTATCTGTCGTTGCTGGTATTGGATTTTCGTCAGTGCCTGTCCTATCTTACGATGTGTGACGCGTGTGTTGCATTTAGAAAGTGACGACGAAAGAGATGCCGAACTGGCACGGTGGGAAGAAGAACAGATGAGAAAGGGTGTCTCTGTACAACAGGTATGAAGCTGTATTTGTACTGTGCAACTGATTTAAGCGAATCTATATATTAAAAGAACTGTCTCAACTTTGGTTTACACTTCATTTAATGACAGAGACAAAAATAATCGCTAATATTGACCTTGTACGATATATGGTTATAACACTCATAATTCTTGTTATTTGCTTCCTGACTGATTGTTAGAAACTGCATCAGATTGCCGCAGTGTTTAGCTGATGTTAGGTATCTGCCAACCGATCATGGCGTTTTCGTCTGTTTCGTGACGATTACTTTGCGTTGCGCTCAGGTGACAGCTAATCTCCACTGAATTCGGGTCCCTGTTCTGATACGTAAGATTTTTTATTGGTCGCTTGATAATTTGTAGCTTATTACTGTACCATGAACCACATGAAATTCTGAATTTCGATCAGCCATGCGCTTCGTTATTTCGTTTAGCAGTGGCAGAACTGATGGAGCACTAGGCGTGGGCTAATTAAGGAATCAGGCCACATCGAACATCATTATAATTAGCCTCTTTCGATTCACTGCTGGATGAAGATCTTTTCAAGATTTTACCATTAACTTATGTTTTCTACGATTTTTATTCATCTTGATCCCCGAATATCTTCAGCTCATCCTACCGTCGATCTGGAGGTTTGCCTACTGGCCATTTACTCTTTCTGGACGTCCAGTCCAATTACTCAATAGTCCATTGATAGTGGGTTTGCCTTGGTAACTTGCTCTGCCCATTGCCATTGACTTCTTCACTCGCGCAGTGATACCCCAGACTTCTGTTTGTGTTCATATCCATTCGTACGTATTCCCGTTTTTTCTTGTTTTTTTCTCAGCATGTATCTTTCCATGCCATTTTGCATAGTCTACAATGTATATGCATAAATAGTTTTCAGTCTACGTTTCGCATCCATAAGTTAGCAATGGCAGCACATGCTGATTGAGTACTTTCCGTTTCTGGCACAAGGGCAGTTTCCCGCATAAGAATATTTTCAGAGTTCATTTTATTTTTTAAAAGTGCTCCGCGCCATTTTTACTGCTCTTTTGCTGATTTCGCAGAGTCGGTTTTCCGTTGCAGAGGTGAACAGCCCCAGATAGACGTTGTTTTACACCTCTTCAAGGCTAAGTCCGTTGATTTCAACATGGCTTGAGTCTAATTCAAATTCATCGTCAGCTCTACTTTGATGTTAACGTCTTTCGGCTGTCGGATTCTTCTTTGGAGTTTCTCTGGTTACCGTCAGAAAACCAGATAAGCTTCTGCTCTTGAATAATGCCCATTTATTGTCAGCCGTTGATTTTCCCACTGGAGCGTCTGTAAAATGTCTTCTAGGTGAAGACGACTGTGACGTACTTAGGTGATATTTTGTCTCCCTCTAGAATTCCCTTTTCGATTTTAACTTGTACTTTTGTGAAGCTTCACATTATCAATTGCATTTTTGGTAAATCATGGCGATGTAATCTCTATCTCTCGTCTTGACTTTTCTTGATTCTGTCATTCTTCAAGGAATCTAATACATACCGGGTGTAGACTGAATCTAAGACCGAAATCGATTAACCTCAGGCAGAGAGGATGGTGATATTCTCTGCTTAGGGGCATAACTTGTTTAACCTCCTGAAGATGATCCATTGTACTAAATTCGCTTAATCTTGCTTGCTCTTTTGGCTGAGTATTGCTTTTCTTAAAGTCTGTTCGTGCGTGTTTTCATGAAGATTTTATTGATGATTGGCAACAAGCTGATTGCCCTGTAGTTCTTCATATTCTGTCTTCCCTTTTGTGAAACAGATTCACCGAGTGTAGTCCGTTTGTCAGGAATTTTCTGTTCCTTCAGACAGCGTGAAGACACATCGTAATATTTTGGTTAATGCTGCGCGTTATATTTCCACGTTTTTCATTGTGATTCCGTATTCGCTAGGAGCCCTTTCTCGCTTCGCCTATTTTATTACATGCCTTTTTTTCGTAAAGATATATGGGATTTTACTTAACGGATATATGTGCATAGAATATCCAGGTCTTTTGATGTAAGTTAGAATATACGGATGGTCGGTATTAATGATTCGTGAACTGACTGACAAGGAATGCACGATTGAAATGCACATCCGAGCCGACACTGCCGCGAAACGCCGAAACTAACGCTGTTTGTCATCATTGTATGTGTTATTATTGCTGTGCGTTACCTGTTAGTGTTACTGGTTGTGATGAGCAAAGGCGTCAGTGAACATTAGCCATCCTCGTTCCGCTTTTGTGTTTCGAATGCCGTTGTGTTCAAACTAGAAATGGAGAAATTCAGGAAAAGCAGTTTCTCACGAAACGTGATATTGAAACTGAGATCACAGCGCTTCTCCAGATGCCAACTTATCTTACTATTCTGACGAAGAGAGCTCAAGTACCCAAAGGAAGTAGTATGAATTTGAAACGTTTACCGATGCGTTGCTTTAAAAACTCGTCCCTCCAGCGTGCATGTCATCAGAAACTAGCATTGGCTCGTAATTTGCTCAGTACATCCACCTTTGTTTCTCGTGCATTGTTTCATGTCATTCTAACCAACTTCTCTTGCTACTTTGTTTACTGTTTTGATAGCTATCGCAGTATCATCATGAACAAGCGGTCATAGAAAGTATCTCCGAAAGCAAGTCCTCCTCTTACGTTGAATACACGACGTCCGTGTATTATCCACCTAAAACTGCGACACAGTACTATCCTCCACCTCTGTCACAACCGCCAGTTAGGGAGTTCAAAGAACCACAACCGATGGACTTGGACATCGACTTGCCGGCCGAAGAAGCGTCAGAGAAAATAGCAGATACAAGTAGCGGCGCGAGCGCCAGTGCTGACGACTTACCTCAGAAAGAAGTGGCGACTTCTAAGCCGTTCAGCCAAACTACGAATTACTCCCTGAATGATGTCATTTCGAAGGTGTCAGAAAGGTATGGTAGTTTTTTTGGTGAAAAAATGCGCGCATAGGTGCTTCTGCTTCACTAGTTTGACTTAACGGTTAGAGTTTAAAATTGTATTCCAGTCAAGGGTTAATACAGATGAATCTAGTATACACGATAACTTGTCGATGTCTCAAGGCTTGCGACGTTGCTGCGTTTTTAGTGCAAGATTTCACATCTTTCACACGGAAGACCGACGTGGCTATTTGCAAATCTAGCAGGGAATTGCGCCAAATTTCTTAGACATAACCGTCCAGTAGCCATGAAGAGCGCTATTTTTCATCTGCTTAATAGTTTCAGCAGTCATGCATCGTTTGGACCCTTTGTCCTTCTAGATAACGAGTTGCGATCTTCTGTATAAATGCTAGACAGCGAGGTAGCAAGATTTCAAATAGCTTTCCATAACAGCCGTAACCCCTTATCCTTCTGCCTTTGGCTGTAATCGTACTGTCTTTAAAGCTGATTTGCTTTAGAGGGATAAGGCACCTATCAGTTCGTTATATTACGGGATTGTTATGCAACCGTTTTATGATTCATAGGTTCATGACAGATATTCTTGACAAAGGGAAAATAAACCGCTTGTATCTCCTTTTAGTGGACACGGAGATTCGGTTTGTGGAGAGCGCGATTTTAGTAATGACATCAATCAGTATCTTGAGACCTGTATAAGTAGGTAGACGGCTGACAATGCCAATGTTTGTCTTTATGGAAACTGAGTGTCTCAGATATAGTCAAGCTTCAGTGGTTATTTAATTATTGCCACTCTTTTATATTAGATTATGTACCTTGTATCCCTTTCGACAGGAAACTTACGATCAGCTGTAGACGATTGGAACGATTAAATTTTCAATTCTTAATTTGAAGAAGGCCCTGAGACATTTGCCGAAACATCTGTAGCGGTCATTCTTCTGATTGACCACGTTTTGCTTTGTGTATAAAATGCACTATGCTATTTTTTTCAAATTAGGAAATTATTGTATTTTAAATCGCGTTATGAAAGAGAGTAGCGACTGCCTAGAGATGATGTAATTCGGGTATAAGTCGAAAGAAGACTAATGCCCTGATGAAAATTTTGTCAAGAAATGGGCATTAACAAGCAATAGAAGAGTTTGTAACCATGGTCATGGTCGTTTTCATTGTAGTTCCATGATTGGCACCACTGAATTCGCCCTTTTTTTTCACAAGGCCTATAGTGCGGTCTGATTATTTCTGTGCCATTTAAATTTAATGGGCAATAAATACAGCTTTGTGATAGGTACAGTAAATAGCCTTATATTTCCCTTCTCACAAACTAATACTCATTCACCTATAAAGAATGAAGGACCAGTTATCCTTCTGAGGCATGAACCCCTGATTTTTCAACAGTCCAGCACTGCATCGATTGAACTACTGCGGTCCGATGAGCAAAAATAACCATCAGTACACTGCAAAAACCACTTCAGACTCTCAGAATTGACAGAAATATTAACCTGTTCTATATGCTGTTTCCCTCTGAGCAGGAGGTTGTCTGTACTTACTTCTTGATTGCACTGCTGAGAGCGTTCTCAGTAATCAAATCTCAAGATTCCTTGCAGAAGGCTGGTGTCTGTATACGTACCCGATTGCAAAACTGGGCAAATGGAGATAACGTTGCAGTTTCCGTGAATATCTGTCGTGAGTCTCGAATTACCTGACTAATGAGTCTGTGGTAGTGTTGTCAAGCTTCCTATACACCTTGTAACATTATTTCTGGAAAAGGACATATCGGTTGCAAGCCTTGATGGACAGATTGCGAACCATCTAAAAAAGCATAGTGAAATCTTTTTCGTCATGCCGTGTGATCATGTGACAATGGCGATTTTTAAGCAAAAAGAACGAATAATTCAGGCGAAATCATGGAATTATTAGGAAATGAAGTGTAAATAATTTGTACATAAATATTTTATTGTCGTTTTATCCGCACGCAGACCTGATTGTCTTGTGGTGGCAGTTCCTTTCGAGCACTTCTTAGGGCAATGACTGCGTCTTGAGTCACCAGTCGTGCTCACGGCATAATGTGGAAAGCTTGAAAATGTCGAATATCCTCAAAATCAAGTTCACGGCTGAAACATCTGCTTATTCTTATGTGCGTCTGCTAAAGTTTTCATGTTTAAGCTGCTGTGAAAGTAGTGGCACAGTACTGCCTGTCTGGTGGGATAAAAGTTTTAGAGCAGGTCCATCGCTTATCAGAGTGATGACTTTTTGCTGTAATATTTTCCGTGGATCAAGATGAAGCGGACGGATTTACTTTTCAGGGTAACACTAGTGCTGTTTGCCTTCTTCTGTTTAGTCAGCATTGTTACATCTTTTATTTCCAACTCCCGTCAACCCTTCTACTCTTCAGATATGCTAATGACTTTGTATAAAGTTGGCATGTAGGACTTCGGTACCATGTTTTGAGTCTGATGAGTGAAGGTGATGCGCTTTGACTAATTCAACAGTTTTTCTGTACAAGGCGAAGGTCGATATTAAAATATCCTTATTGTCAACATTTCGGCCACGCAAGAATTCCGTTTGTGAGCGAAGTTAGCATTACCAACTGAAAATTGGCTTACCAATAAAAATGTTGTTTTCCATTGTTTTTGTGCTTTTTCGGGCGTGCGTGCCATACTCGTACCTCAATTTGTCCAAAACGTTTAAGCGGTTGTTTGAATAGATTACGGCGCTATGGCAACATTGCAGCAATAGTGTTGCCTTGGATAAACAACCACATCACGTTTGAGCCCACTTCAACCTTTAGATCCCTAAAACCAAAGGAAATGTGCAATAATGCCTGCAAGCCCGGACATAGACGATTTTGACTTGATTTACTGTCTGTACTTTAGATGAAATGGGTCAGTTCTTATGAGATGCGTGTTGTCGATTTTAACACTTAAACAGCGTGCTGGTGTCGAAATTTCGTAAAGAGCAAGTTCTTTGTCATAGGGTGGAGGCGTTTGAAGAGGTTAAACGATCATTTGCCGCCGAAGCTGAACAGGCACATAAAGCTGCCGAAGAAAATAGATTAACCGAGGCGAAGCTGATCGATATCAAGCCAGAACTAAGCATCCAGCACCAGTTTTTTCAGGAAATGTTTTCGTACATTACAGACCTGCTTGATTGCTTGAACGAGAAGGTTTGGCATTTTGGCATTTCAGTTGTCACTATAGTTTTATGTCCACGCAGGTGCCGGTGATCCGAAAAATCGTCGAGCAGATGACAAGCTTAATGGAGACCAGGACTCGATTTTTTGTCACTCGCCGCCAGCAGGACGTAAAAGACCAGTACGAAGAGTGCACCATCGCCGGAAGCGGTACGCTGTTACGTGTTATCAGTTTTGAAGGCCAACGCTTGTTTGTTTCTTTACTACTTCGCAGATATAGACCTTGGTGCTTCTTGCTCACTGTGCTTTTCATCGTGCAGCTGTAGAATTAAGCTGATTTATGAATGTTGAATCAGTAATACACGATTTAAACCAACCTTGAAGTGATCTCAACCTTTCGACATAGCGGTAAGGAAAAAACGTTGGGTTCTCATCGGTAAACGGCAGTGTAATCACTGACAACAGGAGTTGACGGATCCTTCTTTGTAATTAACGAGCATCATCGTTTCGTAGTCTCGATGCCCATGCACTTCTCTCTCGTGTGATTTGTTTCCACAAGCTTCCATATCTTTCTTTTAGCTAATCGTCCCATTTGAGCCGAGGTCTTCCATCTGGATGCTTTTAGCCCGTTGAGTACCAGTTCATCACTGCTTAAATGCATCCAAAGTCCATTAGTCTTGCGATGTAGTCCACCGTAGTCCGAATCAAGCTGCACGCATGAGACGGGTGGCCAGTTTTGTTTGTGCTTTCCTTTTTGGATCTTGGAAACTGTTTTGGCCAATATCCACACTTGCCTGGAGTTTCGGATATAACGTTTCGTTTGCGTTTTACCTTGATCGAATGCAATTTCATGTGACAGTTCTGTGGTGCTTGACTCGCACAGTTTTCTGACGGTTTCTCCTCCGCGACACGGAGCATTGCCTCATCTTGCCGAAGACAGTAACATCAAGAAGAATAAAATAATTTAGCACATTCGTATTCCTTCGATACCGTCCTGCGCAAAAAGTACGATCTTAAACAAAGTGCACACCACAGACTTCTCGATGATCAGATGACTAGCAACTTGTTTCTTTCATTATAGCCAGGTTTTTCGCAATCAGTGGAAAGAAATATTATACCATGAGGCACAGCGATTTCAACTTCAAAACTGCCATTGAAAATGTTGGATATCAGGATTTAAACGGCGTCTCTTGAACAATGCTTAAGCATCACGCCTTGACACCGGATTGCCTCCATATTCACCAGTTTTCCCCAATTTGTTGTAGCAAATTCACGGCGCAATGCTTACCTGTAATGCAACACTCTGTCCCTTGGCTCATGCAAACTAGTTAAATGGTTTTCTACTGAAACTACGAAAAGATCAATGTTAGACCAGCAGTTAATGATGAGTGTGTAGATGCATTGCAGATGATATAATGTCATTTCACTCGATTTTCCTCCTGAGGTTGATAAACGAATATTTCTACGTACAGTAGAAGCCGGAGACTGCATCTATGGTTTACTGCCTCGGCAGGCAGTGCCTTTGGAAATAAGGTTCTCGTTCATTTAATCGA